TTTGAGGTGGACGGCGAGGGTGATGTCATCATGACGGAGGCCGACCCCATCGAGCTGCAGAGCACCTACTCCTGCTTCATGGCGCCGCCGCCGCTGGTCGTCAACTTCACCTGTGCGCTGCCCCAGCCCGTGGTCGAGGTGCCGCCGGTGGACCCCATGACCACCCTGGGGCTGCCCCCCTTCTCGTCGCTGGATGACCTGCGCAGCTCCCTCAAGATGCCGCAGGTGATGAGGGGTGGCGGGCAGGGTTGGGTTGCAGAGGCGGTCAGCTGGGTGCTTGCCGGCATGCCTGGCTGGGTCCCACACATCCTGCCTTGCAAGCACACCTTGGCAACTGTCTGTCTTTGCAGCTTCTGCAATTGATCGATATCATTAACCTCATTCTATCTCCGCCTCACCCATCAATTCACATTTCCAGGCGCCCATCAAGCCGCCGCGCGCCGCCTCTTCCTGGGACCACTCGCCGTCGCCCCTGGCCTTCAGCCCCAGGCTGGCCCTGGCCGAGGACGCGACCACCGCCGAGCGCACTGAGCCGGTGAGCCCCCCAGCCCCAGCGCATGGGATTCCCCTGCTGGCAGCCACCCTTTGTTGCTCCTGTGCAGGCCCGCTCCCCTCAGCGTCGCCCCAACTTGGTTGATTGAACCACTGACCCAGCCCTGGCGTACACTTTACTTGAATCCCGCCCAGGTGGCCAGGAAGGCGCGGAAGGTCACCTGCTCCGAGGGCCCCGCGTACAACACGCGCAGCACCAGCCGCCGCGACAGCGCCATCGCCTACCGCACGCGCGCGCGCAGCATCTGGTGAGGCCCACGGCTGGTGACCCCCGCGGACTACGCCGAGTACCATGGGGTAGCGAGGTAAGGAAGGTGAGTGGGCACGGTAAGTCCTGCTTCCTTATCACTGTCCTACTTCCTTTCCACTTAATGCCATGCTAACGACCGCCCGCCCACTAAGTCAACCCCGCCCGTTGAAGCCGCGCCGCCAACGCCGCGCACACCCAAGATAAGTGTTGTTTTGCAACCAATGCACGAACCAAGGTGAGCAAGAGGGTCAGGGTGCGTCCTGGGCGCTACCCGCGCGATTGGGTGGACGCCACCAGCTTCAGGTCTTGCACAGCCGTGTCATCATTGCCGTCCGCGCTCATCTGCGCCGCCTTTCCCCCATCCCTTTCAATAGGTGTGCTGACAACCAAAAGCCTTGCGGAGACAACTCTGCGCCCGCCTGAGTACTATCAAGCCTGCTCGTCGTGAGGTGGTGCCAAATATCTCTCCAGATATATCTCCAGATGAGTGTTGCGTGCTCAGCAGGCTGGTCATGCATTTGATGGGGTGAATTGGGTGAGATCTTTGGGAGGCTCGGGGTCTGTGTTGGATCTGCACGGCTGACATGAGGGGTTGTGCCGCGCTGTTTTAATGTTGAGTGGTTTTGACCCTGCCGCCACGTTCCCCCCTACCCTGCCAGGTGTGCAACGCTGCGGGCTAGCTACAGCGGAGAAGAAACAGAAGATCCAAACCTGCGCATACGCTTGACTAGGCTGTTGGTGAGTAGGACCTTCAATTTCTTACCGGGGGTTTGTTTGCCTCATTATGGATGACAGGCCAGCACCTGCGGCTCCTGTGATGCACCGCAAAGGCACGGTGTAGCTGCACTCCCCAATTGCTACCCCAAACCGCACTGTATGGGCTGCTGGACGCTTGCCTTTACCCGTACAGATATGCGCCGGCCCGAAGCCTGGAGGCGATGACGCGGGCACATTGGATTGTGGGTCCCACGACCAGTTGTCCAGCCAAGGGGCTGGACATCACACACGGTACCTCTGTAAAATATAATACTCAACGCCTCGGCAGGCATACTACATGCGCATTGTGGCCAAAGGTCAATGATCGGCTCGCCTCGCAGCCGCCATGTACAATTCGATTTGGCAAAACCGAAAAGCAGCAAGCAGCAGCAGCGGCGCGCCAGTGGGCGAGTGCCTTGATTGGCACCTCCTCTCCAGCAGCGAATCCTTTGTGATTCTGATAACATACGACAGATTGCTCTGAAATCGAGTACGCTTTCCTCGCGCGCAGACCGTACCAAGTGTGATCTGTCCAAATTAATCGTTTCTATTGCTTTACGGCCGCAGAGTGGCCATGTCTGACTCAGAAGACGACGTTCCTCTCGGGCAGCGTGCGGCCGCAGCTGCCGTAAAGCCCGCGGAGGATTCTGAAAGCGAGGACGACCAGCCCCTGGCTGCGAGGGCCAAGGGCCGTGCAGCGGCCCCCAAGCGATCGCTGAAAGATGATTCTGATAGCGAGGCCGAGGGTAGCGACGGCGATGGCGGCAGCGACAGCGGCGATGAGAACGACGACGGCAGCAGCTCGGACGGCTCAGACGATGTGCCCCTTGCGCAGCGCGCCGCGGCCAAGACGCCCAAGAAGCGCGCCGCCGCCAAGCCCGCCGCCAAGCGCAAGTCCGCCGGCGGCAGCTCCACGCCCGCGGCCAAGCGCGCCAAGCGCGCCGGGGGCGGCGGCGGCGCCGCCGCGGCAAAGGCCGGGCGCGGCGAGAAAAAGTGGGACACCCTGGTGCACTGCGGCGTGCTTTTCCCTCCGGAGTATGAGCCCCATGGCGTCAAGATGCTGTACGAGGGCAAGCCGGTGGACCTGACGCCTGACCAAGAGGAGGTGGCCACCATGTTTGCGGCCATGAAAGACACGGACTACATTGCAAAGCCCACGTGAGCGCGCGGGCGCCGCCTGCTGCTGCTGCTGCTGCTGCTGCTGCTGCTGCTTTTGGCGTGTCGTTTGGGTGGCCAGGATGGCGGATTTCGGGCCATGGGGGATAGCAGGAAGGACGGGAAAATGGGGTGCATTGCTGTGGGGCAGGGGGGCGCAGCCGTGCGGCGCGGCGGTTGGCGGCAGTTGACCGTGGCAGGTGGTCGCCTGGGTGTGATGAGGGCGCCGCATTGGCTGACGAAGCTTGCAGCCAGGGTGCGGCTGATTTGGGGCGAACAGATGCGGTCCAGCAGCTGCCTACCCATGCGGCTTCGCATGTTGAGGGGGTCAGCCGCATCTGTGTTGTCGCTCCCGCTATCATCAGCATCGCACCCCTCCCACCCCCAAAAGATATGCAGCAGGAGCGATGAGACAACGTCGTGCGCACCCATATACTTTTTCGAGTTTCTTAACTTGCCTGGGTGCCCTCCCAAGGCAGCAAAAGCATGCTGGGTCTAAGCCGACTGCAACGACACCACCTCACCCCCCACCCAAAGGTTTGTGCGGAACTTCTGGGAGGGGTTCAAGGAGGTGCTGGGGCCCCGCCACGTCATCAAGGCCCTGGACAAGTGCGACTTCACCCCCATATACGAGTGGTGCGTCGCAGAGCGCGACAAAAAGAAGGCCATGAGCAAGGAGGTGAGGGTGTGCGGGTGTGTGTGTGTGTGTGTGTGTGTGTGTGTGTGCGCGCTTATGTGTGGGCGTGCGTGTGTGTGTAATGTGCGTGTGTATGTGCCGGGGGCCGGGGATGCTCAACAAGGCAGGGGTGGCGGATGGGGGT